ATCCACAAAGAATCTGACTGTAATAATTGAACATCATCATGTTCTCTAGTTGAGATAAACATTTTGCTATTTTTCCATGGAGGAGCAGAGTATTGTTGTCCAACATTATTCACCAAACAGAACGTGAATATGCATAGCCATCAAATGAGCACTTTTATAAAGTACTTGGGGTAACTGAGACTCAGGTCGATATTGCTGAGCCACTGCAGGAATTTATGATGTACAAAATTAAGCATAACTGATAAAAATCACATGAAGGTCTTTATATCTGCTTCCATGGACTCATGCAATTATGTTGAGGTATAAATACAATAATGCCATTCTAACAGAATAATACTGAGCCTTTTCATACTGGTAAGTAAACAATTAAAGAAACATTAATAACTCATGATTTATAAAAATGTACATATAAAATGTGAAACTCTAATTATATCTCATTTTGCCTGGGAATCAGACTGTTTCCATCTAAATCAGTTCCCTGAGAAGAATCTGTCTCTAAGGTTTGATTAAAACCAATCGAAGAAACATGGAAAGTTCTGTTTACCAAAAGTAAAGAAAAAAATTGTTTAAGCAGTCATATTTTAACTATCTTTCTGGCTCCCCTCTGGAGAAGTTTGCCTAGACAGAGCAGTCAGGCTTTCCTAGATTGAAGCAAATTTCTTCCTTTTCCCTCTGCTTTTCAAAGGTAAAATCATTGCTTTTTAAAAAAACGAACATGTTGGAAAAGAGAAAATGAAATGTAAAGATGTTACATAATTTCTTCCTGAAATAACCTTCCAACGTTACCAAACTCTACTGAGGTAGATTTCAGGTCTCCTAATGATGAAAAAGACCCCTAATTATGCATAAATGTACTGTAAAAATTTTGATGCTCTGTCCTTTTCCAATATTTTCTGTCCGCAAATATCTTGCCTACAAATCTCCTGTCTGCCTTACTATGAAGTCATTATACCAAAATCTGCTGCTGTATCCAGATCCTACTTGAAAAATGCATTCGTAATGGTATGGAAATGATCATGATCAAACACTGCTCTTCATAGTTACCACACAGCTGCTTGATAATGATAAGCCCAAGTTGCTCCGAAATTCTGTACAAAGAGAAAGCATCTCCATGGCTAAAATGAACTGAAATCCATTTCTGACTCATATATAATAATTTTATATAACATTTACATTTTTTGCAAAAAACTTGAAGACATAATACCAGGCATATGGTAGACATTAATAAAGTTTATTGAATTGACTTATTCACCAAATGATTATTTGATGCATTGCTGTTGCAAATATTTCCTATGACCCAGATGTATACATAGATTGCAAGTGATCAAACTCTATGAGGTGAAGGTCATTAAAGCTGTGGTCACTTCCACCCATCTCGACACTCAGTGTAGGTAACATATCCAGTTCTTACAACACTGTCATTGAAGATTCTAGTTAATGCATAAAGCATTTCACAACAAATTATAACTGTGAAAGAAAGTCACCAAGAAGTTGCATTTAATTTCAGCAAGTAAATTATGGACAGAATAGCCAACCATCATAGGTGCAAAACACTGCCCAAACAGCCATTATTACAGTTTAGAGAAGTCCATGGAAGTAAAAGATATCTTTTTTTGTTGATGATGCTTGTCATAAAGTTGGTTCTAAGAACACGACTCTGGCATCTAGTTTAAATGTGTGACATTGCTGGGCGCCTGGGTGGCTCAGTCAGTTAAGTGTCTGCCTTTGGCTCAGGTCATGATCCCAGGGTCTTGGGATGGAGTTCTGTATCAGGCTCCCTGTTCAGCGGGGAGTCTGCTTCTCCCTCTACACCTTCCCCCCTGCTCCTGATCTCTCTCTCACTGTCTCTCTTTCTCTCTCAAATAAATAAATAAAATCTTTAAAAAACAAACAAAATAAATGTGTGACATTGCAAGGAGCCATCTTTGATAGAGTGGGCAGAGGAAACAATGTAGTCAATTTGCACTCTTCTCGGAAACAACAGATTCTGATATGCAGCAATGAGAATTCAAGAAGAAGAAGCATCAGAAAAAATAAAGAATGCTTAAAAAAATAAAGAATGCCTTTCCTAAGTATGTTATTTATTCATTCAATCATGAATTCATCCACTAAATCCTGAGTATATACAGTGTGCCGAATCTTGTTTTGAGCCCTAGCGATAAAACAGTGAAAAGCTCAGGCAAAGCTCTTGAGATATTTTATTCTAGAGGGGGAGAAGGAGATAATAAACAAGTAATCAAATGCAAGCTGACTCAGTGAAAAGTATTTGGAAGAAAATCAAGCAAGGGGATGCAAGAGAGAACTCTGGGAAGATTACATTGAATTGTTAGGTAAAGCCTGAGTAGGTGATACCCAAACAGAGACTGGTAGGATATTAAGGAGCCTACTCTAAAGATCTGGGGGCAGAGGCCTCCAGGTGGAGGACTCAAGTACTGTAAGCTAGATTTATTCAAGAAAGTAAAAGAAATAGGCTGATGTGGCTACACTGCACTTAGCTATGGTCTATGGGAACATGGTATAAGAAAAGTAGGTTGGGACAAGATTACGTAGAACCTTCTCGGCAGTGGTAAGGATTAGAGGTTGTATTTAAAGTACAATGAAAACTCGTTGGAGAGCTTTAAGTAGCAGCATGACATGATGTGATTTTGTTTTTAAATTTCTTTTTTAAGTATGTTCCACACCCAGTGTGGAGCCCAACACAGGGCTTGATCTCACAACCCTGAAATGGAGACCTGAGCTGAAATCAAAAGTCTGACACCCAACGACTGAGCCACCCAGGCACCCTAATGTGATTGTTTTTTTTTTTTAAGATTTTATTTATTTATTTGACAGAGAGAGAGACAGCAAGAGAGGGAACACAAACAGGGGGGAGTGGGAGAGGGAAAGCAGGCCTCCCGCGGAGCAGGGAGCCCTATGCAGGGCTTGATCCCAGGACCCTGGGATCATGACCTGAGCCAAAGGCAGACGCTTAACGACTGAGCCACCCAGGTGCCCCTGTGATTATGTTTTTAAAAGATCACTCGGCTGTCATTTAAAGAATGTATTGTTTTGGGGTTGTGGGAGAGAGACTAATTGGTGGCTTTTGTGGTAGTTCCTGTGAGAGATGATAGAAGCTTGGACTATGGTTATAGCCAATGGAGAAGGAGAGATGTGGATCAACTGGGGATACATTTTGGAGGTTGAGACAAGGTGACTTGCTAATTAATTAGATGAGGGGTAAAAAAAAAAGAGACAAAACGAAGATAACTTCTAAATTTTGACTAGAGTAACTGAGTGGAACAATTTGAAGAGGAACAGGTTTGGAGGGGGTGGATATCCGCAGTTCTGCTTCAGAGATGTCTGTTAAACATAATAATAGCATCTACCTTGTAGAGAAAATAAGAAACATATGTAAAACATTTAGATCAGAACTTAACACACAGTAATGGTTCAATAAATATTAACCAGTATAATTATTCTTCAAATGGAGCCATAAAGGTAGTTGAGAATGTAAAAGTGTTCCATGAGATCAGGACTGAAGATATAAATCTGGGAGTGATACAGAGTTTGGGGCTGCCCAAACCATAAAACTTAATTTTTTCAACTTTTGTTTTGAAAAAACTTTATTTTAATTTATATTTCTGCATAACGGACCAATACTTCTATGAAATCCAACAAAAATGAATTACAAATAAAATAAGACATACAAACTACAACTGACTAATGTGCTTGGATACCAAGGCATGCTATGAAAGTGTCTAAATGTTACTCTCAGTTTCTGTACTTATCTCTCATTACAGACCAGTAAGGAACAATTTACAGACCAACACCAGTCCAGGGGATACACTTTGAAGAACACTGGTACTCAAAGCCATGATGTGGCTAGAGAAAGAAGGCCCTGGAGCAAACCTTGAAACATATATTTAACTCAAGTAGATAGAGAAGGGGATGGGGGAAAGCCAGGAGGGTGTTGAGTAAGGGAGGCTGAAGTAAGAATAACACTGTTTGAATGTAGGGACGCACACAAAGCAATGGGAAATCACATATATTTACAAGTAAACAATTTTAAGGAGGTATAAGAAAAAAGCCTAATCATTCCAGCCAGGAACTCACTCCTCTTCCCACAGATGTCACATCTGAAGAGAGACACCCGCTTCCCTAATTCGCCCTCACAAACACTTCAATTTAATCATCGGAGATGCAATCTAGCGCTCATGATGCATTAAGCACCCAAAGCTTCTTCCCTACCAAGCTGGGCTCCGCTAGCGAATGGAACAATTATCAGACCTGATAGCTACCAAGCTGTCCCCAAAGGATGCTCCAGGCCCCTAGCATCAACACCTCTGTTAGTACTTCACGACTCTTGCCTTGTCATCGGCTTTTCTCGCTCAAAACTCTGGTTCCAGTGTCCTAGACTCCTGGGACAGAATATATGCCCCCAGACCAGATCTGAGATAATTCTTAAGGGAAAAGGGTCAGATTTCTGGGTGAGGACGTCAATAAAGTAAAGAACTCTATACGGTCGAGTCCTTTGGTGAGCAAAACTTGCTTAACTCCACAGTTTCTTGAAGCCCTACGCAGGAACTGCTTCCCCTGGGACCGCGCTGCTGCCCCTCCTCCCTAGCCCCACTACCCCCCTTTAAAGACAAGCTTCTGGTTTCCAGCAGTCTCCTAGAGCGCACGAGAAAATAACGCGGGCTAGCGGGCGAACGTGAAGTTGAAAGAGCCCAGCCGCCAGAGCCTCTCCAATCAAGGAAGGCTCCCAGGTCCCCCAGGGTCCCCGCGAAGCTCCGCGGAGACCCTCGCACCGTGGGCGCGGAGCCGAGGCGAGCGCGCGGGGGCCGGGCCGCCGGGAGGGGCGGGGCCGTGACTCACGCGGCCGCGCGCCTGGGGAAGAAGCGGCACCTTGGGCCGAGCCGGGCGAGGGGCTGCGCCCGCCCGCGGGGCGCATGCGCGCTGCCGAGCGGCTCCCGCTCCCTCCCCGCCCACCCTCCCTCCTCCCCTTCCCCTCTCCCCTCCATCCTAGCCTCTCTCCCTCTCTCCTCGCCCGCTGGGTGCTGAAGTTGGGCGGATGGCAGCAAACCCGCTCCGCTAGAGGACCGAGCAGCCCAGCCTCGCGCCCCCGGACTCATCGGTGCGCTGCCCACACCTCCAGGCGACTGGGTAAGATGTTGCCTCTGAAACCGAGCGGTGCTAAGTAAATGACATCAAAATGTCTGCTTTGCACCGATGGATGAATTTTTAAAAGGTGGTGGCTGGGGGAGGTGAAGGAAAGAGGGGGCGGAGAGTGCAACTGCCGGAGCCCAGGCGGAGGTGGCTGCGGGCGCGGGGGGTCTTGGCGCCGGCCGCGGCGCCGCGGGAGGGAGCGGGGGCCGCGCCGGAGGTTTGGGAAGTTGAATCCCGCGTTGCTGCCACCGCGCGGTCCGCTCGCCGCCCTCCAGCTGCTGCGGAGAGGCTGGGCGAGTGTCCTGCCCGCCCGGGGAGCCCTCGGTCGGGTCTGCAGCGGCGAGCTGGGCGCTTTTGGGGAACCCGCAGAGAGGGCCGGGGGCGGCAGGGACCCCGCGGGGGCGCGAGGTTCTGAGGGATTTTCGTGGTTGTTTGCTAGAAAACCGAATGTGAAATTAACGGTGCCCAATCCACCGACCACCTCGGGGTGGTATTTTTTTTTTCTTTCATTACCTTTAGTTAAATGCGCTAACCAGGTGGGGACTGTGTAAGTCAAAATGCAAAATGCATACCTAGAGCATCGGTGAGCTATCTGAGTGTGTGTGTGTGTGTGTGTGTGTGTGTGTAGGGCGTGGGGGTCTCTTTTGTTCCTCCCCTCCCGTTAGTCGTAGGAAAGGGAGTTCTTGTGTGCTCGGTTTAGGGTAGGTTTCACAGCCACTGGGGGGACCAGGAGGAGGAACGCCCACCAAACCCCTTAGCCGCTGCCCTGGTGGGTGTATCTGGGACTCCCCTGTTGGGGGTGATGATGATTCTTTTTATTATCGATGGAATCACAGTTTAATAGCTGCCTCTTCGCCAGCCTCCTTCCTCCTCTCCTCTTCTTGGGCTGCGGCAGAGTCTGGATGCAGACACTCGGCCGTTTCCTCTTCTCCCTACCTCCTGTCTCCGTGAAAAATGTCGGAGGACTTGAGGATGGCGGAGGGACGGAGCTGGCCTCGGAAGCCGCGGATGGGGAGATGCTCCTCGCGAACGGGAGGCTGTTGGCAGCGCGTCCCGGGCAGCCCGCACCAGCCTCGGGTGTCGCTGGGCTCCTGGAGACTGAGAAGGGGTCGCCTGGCCAAAAAGATGCCCACCGTGCGGGGACCCGCCCTGCGTCCTCCGCCTCCATCCGGAGCCCGGGACACTGCTCACCTGGGACAATCTTAGTCGCTCCAGGAAGACTGACCCTGGCTCCTGGCATAGTTTTCCTAACCTCCCTGGCCCTTCGATAAACGGCTCCTCCTTTAAAAGAGTTTCTGAAAGGTTTGTCTGGAGAACTTTGAAAGCTTCCCATAGTTTCTTTCTCTTTTTCT